AGAGAGAGAGAGAGAGAGAGAGAGAGAGAGAGAGAGAGATGGCATGCAGAGAGAGAGAGAGAGATGACATGCAGACAACGAGCAAAATGGGCACATGTGACTCACTCAATCGGGCGCTGAACGTGTGGGGCGTTGAATACGTCCACGTTGAGACTTATATGTTTGCACTTGCAAATGCAATGTAGGTGTGTCGTTTCAACGTGCGGCCAAGGCCACGCCCTTTCCGATTCAGACTTTTTCATTTTTCCACCCTGTCGCTCCTTTGCCACTGTTGCGATAAAAACCCAGTGCGCGGTCCCACAGGCAACTACCGGTCCCGCATTTTTCAAAGAAGTTGCCGCCACCCCCCAAAGTTCCACCCTGCCGCTGCTTTGGCACCGATTCGACCAAAACCCAGTGCGGTCCCACCGGACCCACATTTTTCAAAGAAACTGCCACCACCCCCCAAAGTGTGGTGCCTTCACCTGCCTGCATTTTTTGAACCTTCCAACGACCAAACGAGCCCGAATCAAGGTCCGGTATAACGAAGGACGACGAAAATGTCTCCCGGTGTGAAAACGCAAACGCACCCCTGACGGAAAGAGAACACCACCCTGTTCTTCTGTTTCTTCTGTTACGGTCTGGTCTTGCAGTGCAAGGTTCGGAAGGCGTCGCGCCAGGCTTGGAGGCTCGGAGGTGCTACCGTAGCGCGGGCCCGCCTTGGAAAATCTGGGTTTTCAAAATGCCGTGCGAAAAACGTCTGTTGTGCGAAGATACGCCCAGGCTTGTGTGAGCTTGGGTTAGGTCCGAATTACACGAATAAAGCGAGATAGCAAAGATCAACGGCCAGCATCGCTTAATCCGTGCAAGTGGGACCTTGCCCGGATTGTGTGAGCTTGTGTGAGTGTGTGCGAGTGTGTTCTGCGCTCGTTGTCGTTCGCGGTGCAAAGCGCCGGAAGTTGAAAGGGCCTCGCAGCGCCACTTGAAAACTTGAAAGGGAAAATAGGTGTGGTGGATACGCGCGCCATTTTACACATCAGAGACAGAGATTGGCCTGATGAAGCTACGGTAGGGCCGGTTTGGGCTCGGGTTTTCAAAAGTTGAGCGCGCAGTCGCCGCCCTGCCTGATGGAGCTCTGGCATTCAAGGACTGGTTGGTCGGTAAGCCCTGCTACATCAAACCTGCTCCATCCGTAAGAGATTAGTTCCTGTGAGACCTTGCACGGGCGGGGAGAGATACGGGCGGTGTACCGCTGCATCTTTCTGCGACTCGCGTGTGTTTTTTCCTTCGCGGCCGAGGTAGCCGCAGACCACTTTTTGGTTACCATAGCCGTTGATCCTCGCAGCGATCAGCGGCGACTGTCTTCGTTGTGCCAGTCAGTCAAGTCGAACTGGTAGCGATCATCGGGGGCGCTGTTGTTCTTGCTGCCGTCGCGCAGTCCAGTGGACTCTGACACGGAACGGAAACTGTCTGGCATACGGCATACCCATAGGCAGATCCACACACACACAGAGAGAGAGAGAGAGAGAGAGAGAGAGAGAGAGAGAGAGAGAGAGAGAGAGAGAGAGAGAGAGGTGGACTGAAGGGGAAGGTAGAGCAAGGAAAGGGAGGAGGAAGAGATGAATAGAGGGGAGGAAGACAAGGATGGTGAGAGGACGGAGGAGGAGGAGTTCAGCACGGGTCCGCTTTCTGTCTTAACGATGAGCGTGAGGAATAACACTCAGGTGTTGATCAACTGTCGAAATAACCGGAAACTTCTTGGTCGTGTGAAAGCGTTCGACAGGCATTGCAACATGGTGCTTGAGAATGTGAAAGAGATGTGGACGGAGGTACCCAAGACTGGGAGAGGCAAGAAGAGGGCAAAGCCAGTCAACAAGGATCGCTTTATAAGCAAGATGTTTCTTCGCGGGGATTCAGTCATCATCGTCCTGAGGAACCCAAAATAATCTGGCCCGGCAAGGAAAGGTAAGAGAGTCCTACTTTTTCTTCCTCTTCTTCCCCCTCCCCTCCCCCCTCCCCCCGCCCCCCCTCTCTCTGCCACCTCCCCTCTGCCCGTCTTCCCTCTCCCTCCGGGCCCTTCCCACCTCCACCGCTTTCCTGTCCTCCCTTCTTCCCGCGTAGTTGTCGTTAAGATCTCTCTCCCTGAGCTACCAGTCATTTGCCGAATACAACGCACCCCCCCTCATCAGGAGTGTGCAAGCGAACTGTTCAGTCCTTTACAGTCATTTCTCGAATACAACGCACACTCCCTTTAATGAGAGCTCGTTGCATTCTGGGGGGATCTTTACAGTCATTTCCCGAATACAACGCACCCTCCCTTTAACGAGAGACGGGTAGCTGTGGGTACGATCTTGGAGCGGCGGCGGAGAAGTTGATCTGTTCTCTCACTTTCGTTCCTTTTCCCCCCTCTGCCATTCTCGAAGGGCGTATTTACAGCAGGACTTTTTCGACTGATTTTGGACATGATTGCGGTCAGGTACGTCCAGGTCCGGCTCTCTAGATCCTTCTGTCTCTCATTTTCGACTGATTTTGGACATGATTGCGGTCAGGTACTTCCGGGTGCGGCTCTTTAGATCCTTCTGTCTCAATTCCCGTACGTTTACATTTGTCTGTTGCGTGCACCCTTTTCTCTATTTCACACCTTTTCTCTCTCTCTCTCTCTTGTGAGTGGTGCCCTTGATATTCTAAGGGCTCGACGCCGCCGCCGCCGCCGCCGACGCCGCTTTCCATCACTCGGTACTTGGTGCCGCCGCTTTGCGCCTTTCGTCCTTTTGTCCGTTCTCCTCTTTCCTTCCCTGTCTGTCCAGACAATGAAAAGTGCAAACATGTGGTGAAAAGTGGAAACATGTGGGGAAAAGTGGAAACATGTGGGGAAAAGTGGAAACATGTGGGGGGTAAAATTGTATTTGGAATTGGAGCAGCAGTAATCCGTTGATGGAGCCATTTGTTTCTTCATTTTCGTTCTTTTACTGGCCGTTGTACAGTCGATAGGCTATCCCGTTGCCGCTGTCTTCCACCGAATGTAACGCCCCCTGATAATGAATGCATACAAGATATGTTTCCGGTCAGGTGCAGCCAAAATAAGGGTGCGTTGTCTTTGGGGGGAAGACGGTAGCCGACTGTCCACTCCTCCGTCCTCGTACGACTCTCTTTCCCTCTCGCTTTGGCTCGCTGCTTCTCTCCTTTCTTCTTGCTCTGTCTGTTGTTTCCACTCTTTCCATCTCTTTCACCTCTGTATCCCTCTCTCTTCCTCGCTCTCTTTCCCTCTCTGTTGCCCCTCTCTTTTTTCCGCTCTCTCTCAATTCTCTTTCTTTCCGCCCTATTGTTCCTGACAGCGAATCTGACATCACCTTCGTCCCTTCTTCAGTGTTTCCCGTTGTAGTTGCTTCCTCCGCATGTCCTCCACTCTCATCTCTTTCCCTCTGTATCTCGCTCTCTTCCTCGCTCTCTTTCCCTCTCTTTTGCCCCTCTCTTTTTGCCGTTCTCTCTCTTGCGCTGCTCTCAATTCTCTGTCTTTTCGCCCTATCGTTCCTGTCAGCGAATCTGACATCCCCTTCCTGTCATCGAATCTGACATCACCTTCCTGTCAGCGAATCTGACATCACCTTCCTGTCAGCGAATCTGACATCACCTTCGTCCCATCTTCACTGTTTCCCGTTGTTGTTGCTTCCTCCGCATGTCCTCCACTCTCTTGCGATCCTTACCAGCTCACCCTGTGGGTCCTCGTACGACCGTCTTTCACTGCCCTTGACGTCCTCGTCTCTTCCCTACCCTCTTGCGTCATTACTCTCCTCTTCTTTCTTCTGTCCTCTTATCTCTTCTGTCCTCTTTTCTTTTGTCCTCCCTACCCTCAGACCCTATTTCCACCTGTGGATTTATGCTCCCATCCTGATTTCCCTGATGTGTGCTTCTCTCATTTCTCTACTTTCCGCCCTTTCCAAACGCGAGTCATCTCTTTGCTGTTTTCCACGTGTCCCTCCCTCTTCCGTCCTTTTCATTTTCCTCCTCCATCCTGTCTCCCCCTCTCCCTCCCTCTCCCTTTCTCTCTCTCTCTCTCTTCCTCTCGTTCCTTGGTTAGTGATCGTTTCGGCGTCTATGTCTCGCCGCCGTGTCCTTTCCTCTTCCATTGTTCTTTGTTTACATCTATCTATGCTTTGTATCCCGCCCTCCCGTTCTCTTTTTCTCCCTAAATTTCCTTAGGGCATGCTCGCAGTTGGACTGTTTGGAATGCATCTGGCCATAAACACCGCCAATATTCTTTTCTAGTATCTCTTATGCACTTTTACAGGCTTACTTCTCTCCCCTTCCCTCCCTTTCTCCCTTCCCTATCTTTCTCCCTTTCCTTTCCTTCGGGCATGCTCGTAGTAGGACTTCTTTGAAATGCACCTGGCCATGGACACTGCCAAGGTTCTTTCCAGAAAGTACGTACGTGAGTCGTACGGCTTAATTCTCAGCCCTCGTATATCTTACACATTTTAACAGGCTGACATCAGCAGGTTAAGCTCAACGACTCCCTCTTTTTGTCTTTCCTCTTTTTTTTTATTTCTTTGTTTTTCAAATTTTTCGTACAGTCCGTATCGTCCTGGCGGCGGTAACCAAGTCTTAGTATTTCCGGAGTGTGGTCCTTGCGCATCCTAACTCGTCAAAATGCGAAAGTGGCGAGTGTATTTTGTCGGAGAATGTGGCAAAATACGTTCAACTAATGTGGTGGAACGAGATCCAGCCTTTTCTGGCCTTTGTTGTGCACTGTGTCGAGCCGCCACGTCTCGTGTGTGAGTGGCTTACCAGGGTTTTCTCACCCACCCCCCAAAAAAAGGAGAAGTTCAGCAAGGTTTCTCTCTGCAACGGCTCCATTATCTGCACTTTTCAGACTTTATCACTGTTTCGGCGCGACCTATATATCTTCACTATCGTCTCGTGTGTGAGTACAGTACTGGGTTTCTCTCTACAAAAGACGAAGTGCAGGACTAGGGTTTTCTCTCCCCCCAAAAAAGAAAGGGTTTCTCTCTCCCCCCTAAAAAAGAAGGGTTTCTCTCTTCAACGGCCTCAGTGTCTGCACTTTTCGGATTTACCACTGTTACTTTGTCACTGTGTCTGCGCGATTAATGCCGCCACTATGTCGATGAGAGGAGAAGAGTACGGCCACATGGACACTAGAACATTTTAGGTTGTATTCGGTCGTTATTCCTGTCAGATGCTTGCATAAGGAAGCACTTTTAGGACTTTATCACCGTGTCTGCGCGATTAATACCTCCACTATGTCGATGAGAGGAGAAGAGTACGGCCACATGCACACTATAACATTTTAGGTTGTATTCGGTCGCCCGTAATTCCTGGCAGATGCTTGCATAAGGAAGCACTTYTTGGACTTTATCACCGTGTCTGCGCGATTAATACCTCCACTATGTCGATGAGAGGAGAAAGAGAGTATGGCCACATGCACACTAGAACATTTTAGGTTGTATTCGGTCGTAATTTCCTGTCAGATGCTTCCATCAGAAAGCCGCAGTACGAGTCTGCCAATGCCACTCGAACTTCGCTTCCTGCTAGGGAAGTCAGTCTCGTGGCGGTTTGTTCTCTCAATGTTCTTTCATTTTTTTTTTTGTTTTTCTTTCTGATCGTGATTTCGATCAGACGATTCGTACTCATGATCTGTTTAGAAACAGTGACTAGGTGCATCCTAGAAAACCCTCCCTCTGTTACCCTTGTCAATTGTTCTGAGCACTACTGAGACAGAAGCAGTGGTGCAGTTTCATTAGGGCTTTTTTGATATGATCAGGCCGGATTGTGGACTAGGTGCATCCTAGAAAACCCTCCCTCCTTTGTTACCCTTTGTTGTATGACTACTGGTTACTTGCAATTATCTTGACTGGTCCAAGGAGTGTGTACAAGCTCACTCGAGGGGGCGGGCTACCTGTAGTCGTAGTCTTACCGCTTATTGTCTATAATAAGGTCATGGGTACGAATGTCGGTAAGTTCAAACTGCCAGTGTTTGAACCAGACCTAAAACTGGGCCCAGGTGCACAAAACCGAAAAAGGAATGAACTCCAGCATATGAAACAGTTTTCACCTTTGGCAGTAGCCGATGCAGATCCCAGGGGTCGATCCCTTGACCTCAGCTTACCTGTGTACAGTATCTGTACAGTTCCCTGGAGTTGAACCCGTGACCTGCACGATAGCCAGTGGTAAGTAGGTCACCGTAGGTTGTAGGCTGTAGGGAGATTCGAACTGTAGACCTGTAGGGTAGGAGTCCAAGTAGAGTCCAGA